ATTGAATGTTACATTGTATTTTGGTATCTAATGTCTAATGACTTTAGGTTATTATTGAAGGGATATAACTTAACTTTTAAGCATAAACTAAAATTGCTTTTGATACCTACATTGTTTGCATGTATACACTATTCTGAATTTTGTTTTATAAATTATTTCATTTTTACTGTTTGATAAGATTATACATGCATTAATGATAGTTTATTTTATTTAAAAAATTTATGTAGCCTGTAAACAAAGTAATGCCTTGTCTATTTAATTTATTTTGTTGTTATTCTTAATGGAAGTGTATTTGTTAAGAGTTTGGTGGCAGTAAAAAACCTGTTCCTCTACATAATATGGAATTATAGTCTGTGTTATTTTTTATCGTCTCAGGAAATTTATCCATTTGTATGGAAATATTGGGATACATTATGCACTAAAAGGAGTAAGTCTGGGAGCTGGAAATCTAATTTGTCAGCAAAATTGGTGAGATTGTGTAGTTATGCATGTATGACTTTGTTACTAAATTCTTTTTCTTTCAGATAATGGAAACTTCAATATTTTCTGTAAAGAATGACAAGTTTGGGCTTGTAGATGAAGTAAATTTCATTGTGCATCTTCAATAGTAATATCCCTTTTGCTTGTTACTTTTACATATATTAATATCAATGATTTTTACTGAAGGTGACAAAAGATTTTGACTTTATTTGATTAATTTTTATTATTAATTCATTATTTTGGATTAATTTTTCTGTGGTTTTCATATTTAGGATTTAAGCACAATTGGTCCTCGACGCTACGAGAGTAAGACAGTTGCCCAAAAAGGAAACACAAAAATCAAGCGAAAATTTGAAGTTTCACAGTCTGGACAATCAACTTCTAAGAAATCAAAAGTGTAAAGGGAATTTATATTGACTGTATGTGATTTTATCATAGTGATACTGTGTCTTCTGTAAAAGGTACCTCCCATGGGTATCCATTGGAACATCCGTTTAATAAAGTATTACAAAATTCCTTTTGCCATTTTGTAGCTTTGTTAGGATGGGTATCGCTACATACTGGCAGAGCAAGACCCTCACTCCTCAATTACATTAGATGCAGAAGATTTGGCTGGACGTCCAATTCCTCCTGAACTTTATCGACCTTGGATGTCACCAACAGTTCTACTTTCTCTTCATGACAGAGGTACATGTACATACACATATACATGTACAGTACATGTATAGGTTAAATGATTCTTCTTTTTTTGCTCTTTAAAGCTCCTCAATTGAAAGTGGCAGATAATAGGCTAACTGTTACTGGAGATAGAGGGTACTGCATGATTAGAGCTACTCATGGTAATTATTTGAACTAGTTATTGTGTTTGTACTATTGTAGTGTACTTTTGCAGGTGTCTCAGAAGGGACCTGGTATTATGAGGTATAGGTTAATTTTACCTTGTTCCCAATACATTGTTAGTACAGGTTCATGTTGATGATTTGTCTTGTGAAGGTTCAGCATTGCGAATAGGCTGGTCTCAGAGTTTAGGTATGTGCATGTTCGATGTTCTGTAATAATTGTGTAGAAATGCATCTGCCCCATTTCTGTCATATGCCGCCTATGCTATAACAGAGATTGTGACTTTTCAATTTTGTATTTACTAATTATAATTTTTAGCATGATACTTGTACATGTACATGTATTTTGGGGCTAGTGTGCAGTAACAATTCACAACTCTCACACATGTGCTCTCACATGTTGCAATAATCTTGATCATGTTTATAATTTACTGGATTGGAATCTTTTAGCCACGTTGCAAGCTCCATGTGGTTTTGATAAGCTAAGTTACTCTTGGAGGTCAAAGAAAGGAACTGTTTTTCATCAAAGTCGAGGAAAGCACTACAGGTATGTATTGTACATGAACCTTTTTTGCAAGCTATGCTGCCATTTCTTTGTATAAATTATTTTAGTGATGGTTATCAAGTTGGTGATGTGTTGGGATTTTTGATACATATTCCACATTCAGGAAAAAGTATGCACTATGTAGTGTTTATGTATACTTTATGGGTTAATTTGCCATGTTTATGCTAATGGACATGTGCATTAGAAGACTGCTTAGTGGCACTTACATGTAATTATGCAGTGCTAATTTTTTAATAATTGTAACTTTTCTCTACTCTTTCAAATTTCTAAAAGAATATGTACTTATTAAATATAGTTGCAAAATTTTGTGTGGTTGACACTTTGATTTGATTTGTGAAAGGAAAATCCACAAAATACATGTAGTTGCCTTTATTGTACTTGCTATATAAAAACATGAAAGACACCCTTATAAAACAAACTCCTCTCCCGACGTATCATTACATTGTACTGTATGTAGAGACTCCATTTTAGTAGGTGTTATAACTTTTATTTGCATCCTTCTCTTAATATTGCAGAAAAGTTACCTCTACTCCCAGTCCCAACGTACAAGGACAAAGTTAGCTAATGTTGTGTGTGTCACTTTTTTATTTATGTGCATAGGCACTTATTAAATTTAAAAATTTCTTCTATTTTGAAGAAAAAGATGAACAAGTTGAAGAATATGAGAAGGTTCATTGTTAATTGTTGCTTTTTTAATATTTTACTACACTGCAGAATCTAAAGCCTTTGAAGGGAAGCCAAGTGAGTCTACATGTAGTTCAAAATTATGGTCACTGGTTTTGCTTTATACAGATCATTTTTTATAAAAATGGAGAGTGTCAGGCAAGTATATCTACATGTACATGTATTCAAAAATTGATTTCACTATTATTACTGATTATTAGGGAGTGGGATTCAGTGACTTATATAAAGGAACTTATTTCCCCTGTATTTCTCTTTATAAGACTGCTACAGTAAGAGCATTTATTCATTGTATTTTATCTAGACATCACTGTAGGTTACTGTAAATTTTGGACCAAGCTTTCAGTGTAAGCCATTTTTCCCAGCTGAATATGAAGTTGAACCAGTAAGCATAGGAAACATTATTACTGCACTTATTATAATATTAACTAGATTTCTTTTGCTGCTGAGATTGCAAGCATACGTCAGACCATAGCAGAAATGCTATTTCATGTGGAGTCAAAGGTGCTTAGTAGGACAACAGCACAATACCCTTCAAATTACAAATTCAGTCAGCAAAGCTAATTTCATGTAAAATAAAACTTTGTTCAGTCTTCTTCAAACAACATCTTAACGAGATCTTCATCAGCACATTGTTCAGGGTTCAATCTTTTAGTCTGTAGTAAACAAATAAATTGTATGAAATTCCTTCTGTAATGTAATTTTAAGGTGTAAAATAACAAACACATTTTGTATACCGTTTCCCATTCCATGAGTGTTGGAACACCAGTTAGTTTGAGATTCGTTCGGAATGGATTGTTGAGATCTTTCCAACTAAAATATGGAATAAAAATTTAACATGCCTAGCATCAATAAATTTTATTAAATGTAACAATGAATGACACCTTACGCTGGCCTATCTCCGACAGAACAAGTGATCAGGACCCCACTGCTTTGCTTTGATGCCACATTTTCAATGACAGGATCAGCTATAAAATTAATGATTTGACAGTACATATATCACTTCATCACCTTTCACACAATCAGAACACCAACTGTGGCCAGTCTGTTGATCAGTTGAGCCACAAAATAGTACGAAAATTTTACATCTATTTCCACCCTCTTTTAACACTTCTACACTGGACAACAACTCTTGCAAACCCGCTACATTGATCCTTCTCAACCCCATATTGTGAAGTCACTGAAGTGCTTAGTAGTGTTAGTTAGGGCGTGTTCCAATTAATTATTTATTGCAGACAAGTACACGTTGCATGAGATCTAGATCTAAAAATAGACAATAATTGCTATTTTGAGCAATGGCGTCATTATATGGATTCAAGTCTGGGCAGGAAGGATGCCATGGAAGTTGTAATTTAGGTTCATTGGACCGTATCTCCGTGACCAGTTGAAGCAATTCTTTTGAGGTGGAATGGCAGCGCTTAAGCATATCAAATGCGTTGTAGTTGGTGATGGAACTGTTGGAAAGACCTGTATGATGATTGCTCATATTAACAATTCATTTCCTGGGGAGTATGTCCCTACCGTGTAAGTGAACATTAACAATGATAATACGGTATCATAACTGATATGAAGTGAGTTGTGATAGATTTACTGTAATTAAGTTTTTGTGCATAATAAGTATTGCTAGGCTGTGTAGCCTGTCTAATTATTAGACTAACAACTTTTCAAGTTAGCCCTGGTCAGGAACGGTCATTGTTGATTCCTAGTCAAGTGGGATGAGTAATGAGGAATGTGCTTTTAAGTATGTATAACAAGCTATGTCTTTGCTGGGGTACAGGCACTGTTATTTATAAATTAGTCTAAGCGTATCAAGTTTGATTGTGGCATGCCTTAATTTTTTTGCAGTTGATGTAACCTATCATATGTACATGCACAGGATACAGCTTTAAATTTGTGCCTGAGATAATCATTATGTAAGCATGCCAAAAATGCACTCACAACTATGACAAACTTTTAGTGACACCCCTGAACTATTCATTCAAAGTTACTCTTGGCACAGGCTTTCGTAGTATTGGATGTAAAATAATACTTTTTACTTTTATAGATTTGACAATTACTCAGAAAATATGTACATCAACAACAAGTTTGTAAGTCTTAACTTATGGGACACAGCTGGACAAGAAGATTATGATAGGTTGAGGCCCCTATCTTATCCACAGACAGATGTTTTTCTTGTTTGCTTCTCTGTTGTCAATCCTACATCATTTGATCATGTCACTCATAAGTGGCATCCAGAAGTGTCGCATCATTGTAAAGGTGTGCCCATTTTGCTAATTGGCAATAAGATTGATTTGAGAGATGATCCTGACACACTTGCCCACTTGAATGAACTGAGACAAACTCCCGTGACAAGAACACAGGGACTTGCTTGTGCTAAAAAGATTAATGCGGTCAAGTATATGGAATGCTCGGCTAAAACTGGGAAGGGACTTAGGGAAATTTTTACAACGGCAGCAGAAGTAGTTGTAAGTCCTGAAATCTATCAACACTCTCAAGAGAAGACAGACAAGCGCAAATGTTTGATACTATAAAATAAAATAATGACCCTCATACTTTTTTAATGTTTATAACGACTAATCATGTTTAATTAATTTTCTTTACAGTAACTACATGTATGTTTCAGTTATATTTTCAATGTTCAATTAGATCTACTGCCAAATATGATAAGTTTATTTTTTCTGTGTCCCATATTTTACGTTTACGCACATCTGCTAAAAGTATTAATATTATAGGCTAGCATTAATAATTCTTGTTTTATCATTCATAAGCAATACAGTAGAAAAAGACACCCTTCAAAATAAGCAACTACATATCTATAAAATTGTCAGAGAAAGTAAAGATGTATGTAAACAATGAAACCCATTTAGGTTGACTTGATCATCATGTGGTGAACTAACAATTTGGATAGTTGCTGTTGGCAGCTTAAAAACTAATAAACAATTTCAGGAACAAGCTTCAAATTACAAGGCTGTGTAAGAAAACTCCCAAATAGAATTCCAGAGTTAATGTGAATGTTGGACATAGGCATCTGTTTCAGGGTTCTCTTATCCTTGGTACCTTCTATTTCCTTTATGCTTGTAACAACAATCTACCTAAAGCTTAAAGCCTAAAGCCTTTAGAGACTAAAAAGCCTTGTTAACACTTGCCATAATATTAAATTTTTGCCAACTTTGAGTCAACTTCAAAGCATTTTTGTGTGAACAGGTCAGATCACCCACACAATTTTGAAAGTTGTACCAATTGTAAATCTATATGTGGCTTAACAATAGCACACACTGTTAAGTTTTGATGCCAACATAAATCAAGACATTAAACGAGTGATGTATAGTGACTCAAAAAAGGCTGTCCTCATAGCACCACAACCAAACAGGAAGAGGCTGGAAATTTCATGTAGCTGAGACAGCAGATTAAAAAAATGCAGACATGCTACATACATGTAGTACCATTTGCACTACAATTAATAATGTGTTTATCCACAATTATAAATAAAATATAATTAGCAACATAGACATGTACATGTAGTGTGCATGTTAGTTGTGTGAAGTTATTAGTAATCTAAGATTGTTGTTAGCAGAGGTTAGAGTGCTGGTGAAGTTCTGGTCAATGATACTTTGAGGAATCCATCCCTTTAGAGACACATGTATGGCAACTCATTTATAAGTATCACATACCTTTAAGTCAGAATCTATTACCCACTTAAACAAGGTCTTCGAAGAGTCCAAAGGGATCAAAACATAACCACCAGGACCATTTTCACCTCTACAAAACAGAAAACTATACATTACACTGATCTACAGTAGCCCCCATGATAACTACAATGTATTAGCAACGCAGTAGCGTTATAAATAGGATTAACCCCCAAACAAAATGGCTACCATGATTTTTGCAGCCTTGCTTTACCATAATATTATACATGTCCTATAATGCTGAATTTTACTTTTGAAAAAAAACGGAAAGGCATTGTTGTTATGATTGACAGTAAAGCTTACATACATGTATTAGTGAAATACTAAAGCATACTAGCCACTGGCCAGGTACATTGAAAGTAAATGTTAATTTGATATACATCGGAAAAAGAATGCCCTTATTAATGAACTGGCAATTTTAGAACTAATGAACGAGTTGATTGAAACATAAAAGAATTTGTGATAATAGTAAAAACACCCATTGAAATTGAATGTAAAACCAGGTCTTCTCTCAATCCCTCTTGTTCCTACCCTTGTGACATACATGTACATGAAATGGCATGAGCCCCAAAATTTCATTTTTACAAACCACGTAAAGAAATTTAAGGTCTAATGTATTAAGAGGTGGCATTGTACATGTACATGTACCTATCAATTATGTCCTAGGTTTTACAATAATTATCATGATTTTGAAATTAATGAAATAAAAAACCTCAACTATTTGGTAAAATTTAAATCAGTTATTTGGAACTGAATAATTTTATTAAATGAGCAACAATATAACATGATGACATGTACCTTATTTTGTCAGGAACGGGTGGCTTCTCATTAAATACCACAGACACACTTGCACAGTAGTAACATCCTCTCCTAACAGATGCTTTACGAACAGTTACAAAATCTCTGTTACAATTGAAATAACATATGACAGCAATAAAATTAATACATGTACATGTACCTCGCTGTTACTAAAGAAACAGATTTAGTAGCTGTGTATACAATGTCTGTAGTACGATCAATGTGATGTAACACCTAAAAATATTATATTAATACTAGTGCTGGGCGATAGTGCTACTATCATATCACGATTGATAGTTCTTAAAATTTTAACGATAGTGATACTATCACGATATTAACAATTAATTTTAATATATTTATTTAATGTAACAAAATAGGCAAAAGGATGAAAGGTAAATGAATATTTGAGGTTTTCAGCTAGAAGAACATTTTTGGATGTAGACAAGCTCTTTTTTTAGTACCTATATTCCCAGCAGTACTATAAATACACATTCAGAGGGAACTGATGCCACCGGTATACATAAATATTTCCTAGCTATTATTGGATAACAAAAGAAATTTGTGTTCCACCATGCCAAAGGATTATATATCTTATATATCTAAGCTAATAGGCTCTAATATCTTGAAATTTCTGCATGAGCCTTTTGGAGATTATTCAAGCACTCAGAAATTTTACCATCAACAGCAGGAAAACTAAAATACTTCCATACAACACTAGTAGCACCAGGTAAAGGCAATATTTCTGTTTCTTTTTGGAGCAGTACTGCTACTAATGATAACATCTTCCATTTTCACAGCTGAACTAACTCATTAAAGTAACCACATGTTTGATAATGCGCATGCGTACATGTACCACGTGTCAATCGTGATAGTGTTGATTCAACTATCACGATAGTGATAGTAGATTACTATCGCGACCATCGCATATATCGATACTATCGCCCAGCACTAATTAATACATACTGTATGGTACTATTGTCAAATCTCAATACAATTAAGTTTAGAAACCACTGATCTGTCTTAAATGACATGGACAATGATAATTTTGGCCAAGTTCTTGAGGATTCTCGAAATTAAATATGGCATTTTCAATTGCTAAAGCCCACAAAATCATTGAAGCTCTAAGCACTATAAAGCTGCTGCATGAGTGTGAATTCACTCAACGTCACGTACATGTACATTCCTGATACTCCAGTACAAAATGAATATAATAATCATGCAGATACATTGACATAAGTTGGCACAAACTCATAGATATTAGCAGCACTGCCTGTGTAATATATCTTTTAAGTCTTATTTCAAGTTCCTTTCTTGTATCAGAAGAGATTGCCAAGTTTCTAAAAGCTAAGGGCCAGAAAATGTGGCCACATGCTTGATCACATGATATTGTAAGTATAAGTATACATGTATGCCTTCATGCAGCAGTCTGCTATAAGGTTATTGGATACTCCCTTTAGGTATTGCTGACAGTAATAAGCCATTTAAACTTTCAACCACAAAAATTAAAACCATGAGTTTTCAGACTAGAAGCAAACCTCAGACAGGAAAATAACTCCTATACAATAGATTACTTGATACTACTGTATGTACATACAGTACATGCATCCATTCAAACTTTATTTGATAGCATTATAATAATGTGGGAAGACAATTGTATAATCTGACAAGCTACAGTTTCAATTCTGGTTTTTTATAAGGTTGTGGACAGGTACCATGTATAGTGACAACTTAGCTACAGCGACAACTTGGCAGCAACAACCTCGTCCATATAAAATCATGCTGTGACCTTGGTATTTTTATATCGAAATAATTACCATTTAGCAAATACATGAACTAACACAATAACGGTATGACATCTTAATGATCAATGCATTCACTTATGGCATAACAACATTGCATTACTGACAGAATCCAACACAGTTAATTGTTGTGACTAAAGTACATATAGCAGTTTTAATGTCACAGTGATATAACAATAAGAACACTGAGCCATGTACATTGTGTATGTAAACTGTTAACCACACCTTATTTATATCAACATTAGTATTCCATTCAGTAGTTCTATGAGTCTCATGATATAGCACTCGCCATAGAGTTTCTACTGCAATATTGATGACAACCTGAAAGCAAATCATTAGTAATTGTATGAATAATTTCAAATTTAATTCAAAGTACTTCGCTTTTCCATATTTTCCTGGAGTTGCTTTCAGAGCGATAACTGAAACATCTAATTCCATTCTAATGTAAATGTAGCAAAGCTATTGAAACATTGCAAACAATAATTATACTTCTTCTTTTTCTAATATCCATCCATTATTGGATCTAGTCATTTGCTCAAGTTTTTCTACGGCATTCATTGCATGTAACTTATGCCCCTCATTCTGTGAAACAAAAGGAAATTGTTGGTGGTAAAAATTTAAAAAATGATACCATATTTTACATGTTATGCACACTTTATAATAAAAATACAGTACATGCACATAGCTAATAAAGTGACATACTTCATTCGAAAACTGATCACACTCTGGCAGTGGAGTTAACACAGGGGAATATGTTCTATCTTCCCGAATAATTACTATATCTTCATTTTCAAGTGGAGCAGGTGAACCTACAAGTACATGTACATGCATGCACAAAATGTTATATCCAAGAGTATATGTGACATTGAACCTCTTATGGATCCCAGTGGTGTTCTAAACACTGTGTCCATTGAGCTGTACCGTGCTAGTGGTTGTACATTAGGAATAGCAGTTCTTGATCTATGAGCTGGTCTGGCAGAATGTTCTGATGGACGCTTGACTAACATCCATGGGCAAAACCACACTTTGCAATTTTTCCAGCTAGTAGTAGATAATCTTGACAATTCTGCTGGTAGAAACTAAACTACAGTAATCAGTTCAGCATAATAATATTTATTACTTTAAATTCAAAAAAGAATGTGATAAGCCATGGCATTACGAATGCAGCAAACAGAAAAATTAGAACAATAATGTAGTGTATATCAGTATTATCTTTAGCATTTAAGTAAGTCCAAAACTATAAAACAAGAAGGAAAAAAGCATTTAAACTCTCCACAAAGTAATTGTAACATTTTATTACACAAACATTAAGAAAAGAATTTAACAATATTAAAGCCCATGACACATATAGACCCATCTCAAAGCTAATTATCATGAGCAATAATAGTATGCTATATGCGGGAGAAATAATTTTATAATGATATCATCAGTCAATAATAATATTCATGAAGCAAGTGTCACAGGTACTGGACGGCAAGATGGCTTGAGTCTGAGGGAATATGGAGAATTTCATTGCCCAAAGCAAGCCTAATTCTAAGTTCATTGGGCTCCTAACTGCTGCAAAACAAAGAAAACAATTGGTACCAGCTACTAAGCGTTATATATTGAATTCTAGTGGATTAAACACGAATATCCAGTGATGTGGTAGATGTAGCCTCGTCAATATCTTGCTCATACAATGAATCTGGAGCTTATTTATTCCTTCATTCAGCTGCTCTTAATGCTTTCTTTGAATTTTCTTCAGTAAAAGCTTGAGATCAGCATTCAGCACATACATGTATATTGCCAGCATCTCTTGCCATCCAGTGTGAGTGGCTATAGAATATGCATGGTGAAATTAATGATCGCGATAATTAGCCTTGAAATGGGTCTATAATAGTTTATACACATTGATTAAATAAAGCTTTGGTTCTCCCAATTCAGAAGAAAAAAGCAGAATGACATACAGTATTTCCTCGAACAAGGGCCTAGGCGTTTATTGATTAACAGAGGCAAAAATCACAAAAAAATTCCAAAACCCAGGACCGAAACTGCGACTCTATGTTCTAAAGACTGAGGATGAACAATTAGGCTATTTGGACCACTCTAACCATAAGGGCACATAATACTGTGGTAATATATTAGTGATATGCACTTATTTGAGTAGGGCCCTTATTCGAGGAAATACGGTACTAATAATCAAATTGAAAGACCACACAAGGAACACAGCCACATATGTAGTGTACATCAAAGATTTCTTTTAAATGCACCACTTAATACACATGTACATACATGTAGAATTTCCAAAGTAAATGAAAAGCCAAAGATATTATTGATGATTTTGAGAAATATTTCAATATTTAAAACATAAAGAACTATATTGTTAGTTTAGCATTTTATTGTGAAAAAATGAGCTTAAACTTACAAAGTATGCTTTCACAGGGACATAAAACGTTGATACAACAATGGTGATCTAGATATAATAGAAAATAATACAGTAAGTAATTGTTTTAAAACTCACGACAAAAACTATTCTTGTAACCCAGCCAAGCACCAAATAAAAAAGAAACAAAATAACAAAGCGAATTATAGCAATTACCTATCACAACATCAGTAAATATAAAGACATAATGTATATACATTGTTTTACCACAATATCAAACACAGACGTCTTTATATCAAAATTGGTGAAGTAAGTTTGAAACGGAGAACCTGATTCTAATGTCTAAATAACCAACAATATTAATCTTTACAATGGCAATTGGTACATACTAAGTAAGACAAGATGGAGAGAAAAGCTAACAAGGTTGCATCAAAGCTCATTACAATAAGCAAGCTTAACCTAAACCTCTTGCGCGAATTGCCGTTAACACCTGACTGATTACTCCTCGTCCCTGTTAACACAGTTCCATACCGTGGGCCTAGGGAACTTTCTAACTGTCTAGTATGAGTGGTATCTTCAGCAGTTTGTTCATCTAGAAGATGGTGACCTTCCATTATGACACTCCTCCCAAGCCGAATGTGCTGATCCTTATCAATTTACCCCTGAAGGTTGCGGGGTTTAGACAGCACGGGGGCCGGGGGGAAGTAGATCTAACTGCAATTTTAATTCACTACTAAATTGCTAAGAGGACGATCTTCTTTGGACATATTGCTGGCATTAGCATATCCAGCAATGTATTTTTTGTCAGGAGATTAGAAATCTGAAGGAGAGATTATTATAGATAGTCTGCATGATGTCATGGCTATAGCCTAGATGGTACAACATCTAAAGCTATAACAGATAGAGTTCAACATGTACCAGCTCGTGTACCAGTGTTGTTTGTGTACTGTGTGGTACCCGAGGTGGTACCATATTTGTCTCGTACCATATGTATTGTTTCAAAGCCTGTGGACTTAAAGATGATTTTGTATGTATCTTATGTCAGGTACCACAGACTATTCCTTGGAAAGTTTCTGGATTCACTGACACCACGCACATTTGATAGTTTCAATACACTGAATGTGCTTCTGCTACACTGCCAACAGGATACAGATTTTACTTTGAGGATTGGAAATAGTGAATTTGAGAAAGTACTTAACTTAAACACAGGACTGTCCTGTGCAGACTAAGGTTGATGATATTTAGATCAAAAAGCATATAGATCTACAGGAAGGAAAAGTTGCAATTATGAAGCACATGAATATGACATAAAATGTTACTGGAAGCTGTTTTTGGGCATGCATGAGTTTCATAAGACCCTATCTTTTTAAAACATGTATGGAGTATTTATTTTACAATTCCCTCCTCACATTGTCCACGTACAGAAGACGAAGTCAGAAAAATGTGTCCCTTCAGTTTGATGGAGAGATTATAGATCAAGTAAGGAAAATTTTTTCTCGCTCAGGAGACATTTTTGGGACATCTTGTGGCAAATTTCTTTACCCACCACCTAATGTGGATCAAATCACATATATGTGATAGATAAAGACAACAAGCAAAAGATGGAATGCTTTTATGAATGTCATGGTCAACCTACTGTAACTGAGGCTAAGTTTAGTTATGACAGCCCATAGATAATACCTTTTAATGCCCAATTGTCCGGTTACCAGTGTGAACAACTGCCTAGAGTAATTGTTGCATTCGATCAAATAATTATACAGATTAGCTGGATTTTCATTGCATAGTGGGATGCATTAATTACACTGATGTGATCAATTGGCATAGAAAGAAATTTTTCTACCATAATGGCATGGGTTCAACTAAAGAACAGAGATTTTTGGAGCTCAGCTTAAAACATTTACAGCAACAAGGCTTTTATGCTTATTATTTTCTTTCTCATTAGAATTGTTTGTACTTATGCACATGCATTTACTCTCTGCAATTTTATTACTAAAATTAATCATAAAGTTGGCAATACTAACAATGTTATTTATTGGTAGTGTAGATCTAATTATTAGTAATCTCTTAATAAAACAGTAATAAACAGTGATTGTGGACTTAGCCTTTAGCCCTTTACTCTTGCTTGATGTCCATTGTGAGCCCACCTTGCTATCTACTTCCATCTTGTAACTCTCATTCGCAGTCCCTGCTTTATGCCCCATGTCCACATCCCAGTTTTACCATCGATGTTATATCCTCGTCCCTGTTTTACCAACCCCCACCATGTGCCATCTAAATTATGCATGTAGAGTAACTGCAGCCTGAGTTTAGAATAACATTTGTTATGTAATGAGCAACTTCTGCATCACAGCACTTATATTATTTTTAATTTTGAAGGCAGCAATATTAAAATCAATATTAAAATCAATATTAAAAATTAACACAAAAAGTAAAAGTGGCATTAATAAAACATTTCTCATAAAAAAATTTAGTCACTGTCACGGTCGCTATTAGCATTAATTGTTTCTTCAAAATCATTCTCTCTAGATGACTCGTTATAGATAAGCTCAGTGGCATTAGAAAAATTGTTTGGAACATCAGAATTCATTTCTTCAGTTCTGTTAATAGCAATAGTATGAACAAAGTCATCTCTTGTCCAGCCATAAACAATAGCATTCATAAAACCTTGCAAAGGTAATGTGAGGGACTACCAAAAATTAATAAAAGATGTTGAGGCTAAAAAATACATTTCATTCTTACTTGTGCAAATATAAACCCTTTAAAAATATCATATAATGAATCATGGCTGTGGTTTGTTGCCTCATCATGGACATGGGCCAAATAGGATGAAAGAAAGACAACAAGAAGAATTGCAAGTACCATATCTAGATGTATGAAAACTATAGAGTAAATTATTCAAAGCATCTTACTGAAGAGACCACTGCAAATAAATACACTTATAAACAGAACAACACGTTTTTTAGCTTCAGAGTGGCCTACTTCAATACGATTTTTTTCAGCCGATCCATATTTGCTATGATTAGAATTATCAATAGCTTTCCGTCCAAAAACTAGTTGCTCTAAATAATAAAAAAACAAACTAAAAGTTCCTTAAAAATTTGCTGTACCATGTTCTTGTCGAATTTTTTTGATTTTGCTAAGAATTTTCTTGTAAAGTACCTTTAAAAAATAAATTTATAGAAAAGGGAAAAATTTTTGTTTTAATACTTCACTAACCATAAGCAATATAAAGGCCAGTAGATAATGTAGTATTATGACTATGCCAAGGCCAACCATTAGCCTTGCCTGCAGATGTCTCATAATCCTTGTATTCTATCAAAGATATTTCAAATCATACTTAGAAATAAGATAATTTACCTTGTTAATATTTTTCACATCAGGAAATATATTTATTAAAGATGGCACACACCTAAACGTATAATAGAGTTCACATAAAAAGGGTTGATTAAATACCAGCATGAACATTCACTGACACTTGAGAGCAAATATGTATTGCTACCTATAGTGGCACTAAAGACTAGTATGATGAAAAACAAAGGGAAGGACCTATATTGTATGCTAGCATAAATAAAGTATGAAAAATGTAAACATACCATGCAACACTGTAAACAGGCACTGTTACTTTCCATGAAATTTCATTTCGAATTGAGTGGGCCTATAACGATTATTTCAAAATATGCTACTATCATCATTGATGCCTACCAAAACACTATTCAGGTCTGTCTTTCGAATTTTTACATACGCAAACACAGAATATACTACAGTCAAATTAACAGCGATACATTCCATTACCTAAAAAAGAAACTGTAAATGATTCAACATAAAATGAACATTACAGCTGTTATAAGTGTTAGAGAATAGCACCAAGCTGCCTTATCTCTTGCACTTGAGAGCCATATTGATGATCCAGTTATCCACAGTAGTGCTAACAAGCAATCAGACAAGGAAAGCATAAAAATTGGATGAACTTCTGAATGAAATAATCTGCGCTTCCAAATAACTGAGAAAATTATGGAAGTGGCTCCAAAAACTCTACAGTAAAATAAAAAAGGAATTTGCTGACAATATTTAAGATCTAATTGGCTAGATATCATGAGGCAAACAATCGCCCACTGAACTTAACGGGATGAGTAAAATGCTTTTAAAAGTATAGAGCTGTGAACCCATAATGGCAATCATAACCTTACCCTAAGAGTGAAGAAATCATTCTAATCCCAGCAATTGCGTCAAAGATACCGGCCTATTAATACAGATTTCTAGACAATAAGAGAAGGAAGTAACTCACTCTTTCAGGAGAAAGAAAGCAGGTTTCACTGCCAAGTGATTCATTGAAGCAACTCATTTTAGAAGTGGACTCTGTATGGCTGCTTAGCTGGCTTAGCTTGCTCAGGAATTCTAGGACGTGCCAAAGGAGGAGCTTAACACCCACTCACGTCACAATGGCTAGCGAGGGAGAGAAGATTGGATAGATGGTGTTCGTGAATTGAAGCAGATATTGGTGCAGTATGTGTGATGATCTAAATCCTGACCACTTTTTTAGAAATAGCTGCCTGTTGACAAGAAATGAAGTGGGTTATGGCGTAAATTTAGTCGCGGTATTCACAGCAGGCCATTTGTTATTAGCATGTATATATACATACACTGTGTACAATTTTCATGCCATGCCTTTGTATCTGCTACGTACCGCAGTACTACTAGAGTAAGAGCTCTAAAGGAATGGTTATTAATACCAGTAAATGATAAACGTGTTACACATTCTTGATCTTTCATTATACACTACTATTAGCTAGTACTGTGGTAGTAATGTTTCATTGTTTGTATAATCTTTGTGCCTACAGTGCCTGTACTAATGTTTACGACTTATATCAAAAGGAAATCAAAAGATCAACACATTTGACCATTTCAATTAGATTTATCTTGTAGTTTGAGCTGGTAGGTAGTGATAATAATTCTTTGGAAGCATGTATAAATTGCATGTATTATTATTGCAAAAATGCTGTTGTAACATGAGGATGGGAAGTGTCATTATTGGGACAAGAGGCTCTTTGATCAAGAGATCAAAGTACTTTACATGTTTTGCGTCTCCCTCTATTATTTTGCGAAACTTATTTGTTATTGTATTCATGCATACATGCATATTAAGCGATAATTACCTACATGTAATTGCCATTCTAGTCGTAAATATGATAAATCTTGACAAATCATGCAGTCTTGTGTTTGAGTTGTGCCACTCTTTAGCATAGTGCAGGGTGTGTATGTAATATCCCATTGTTGTGTTTTATGTTGGTGGATGATTTAGTATTAGTTCAACAATAGTGTAAATAAAGGTCAAGCGAAATACACAAAACAATTGTAACACTTACAATACATAGTTATTTCTAATTTATGATTATGTGTATTTATGTAATAATTGCATACACTTCACTTAGCAGAGTAAATGTATGAGAATTAATTCTGATACATTTACTCTGCCTACTATTGTGAAGTGTATGGTTATTATACATGTTCATGTAGTTTCAATATTTATTCTCAATACAAAAACAACTTTAATAGTCTAATTGCATGTATGTATATGCGTATTAGATATTTATATATTTTGTTTTTATAGAATGGACGACTGGATGCAGTGTCAATGGTTCGAATGGTATCATCATTGATAGGGTATGTTATACTTTCATAAGTGCTGGTAATGTCAGCAATTAAAACTTATTGGTATGAGATGTACATGTATATGATTGATAATTGTAATTTTAAACCAACTTTAGAATTAGAAATTATAATTAATTTGGCAATTATATTATCAAGTTTTATTCAAGCATAGAAATTGAAACTTATAGTTATCATAATTCATGCTATCGGAGTTTTATACACGGGATTTTTTAAGGGAGAAATGATGGAACTAAGAACATTTTTGTGACTTGTGCCAATAAGCTAAAGCCATTTTTGCCGCAGGCATGAGGTGATTTGCTTGTTGATATGAATTGCATGCTTTTATATTGAGTTGTGGGCAAGTATTAACTCTTTTGATCAATACACTATTTTTAAGTAAATTAAAAAACATTAAAAATTGGAAAACAGTAGGATTGAATTGTAAATAGACAAGATAA